GTAAATTAGGGTACATACGAGACAACTTTTGAGGATCCAAATGCCACCTATAAAACATTTTGTAAAAATTTTCTCTTAAATTCTGTGCTTGGGTAAATTTTACATTCCTAATCCAGATTGTCTCCCATGTATCCAGTAAAATCGGCTCTTCTATATTTTGAGCCCATTTTATCATACAATCCTTCACCAATTCTGTTTCAGAGTCCAGTTCAACCAATACACCATAAATTCTTTTTATATGAGCTTGAGATTGATCTCTAATCTGTTTAATCAAATTCACATCCTGTACTACAATACCAACTTTTTGATCCAAACTCCACCTCATGGAAATTGACTATAATAAAACCATGAGTATTCAATATTCTCTTGTTTCAGATCTCCCAGAGATTTAAGTTGCCAGTCTTGTCCTACTGGCAAAAGTAATTCTTTATATAACTGACTCATATTTATGACGGTTGCAGTGTCCTGGGATATTGTGTTCAGCTTTTGCGATCTTCTGACAAGCAAAATTAATGGGGAAGCCAGATTCACTTAACAACCGTGTTACTCACTTAAGAGCTGCAGGGATTCACTTAACAACTGTGGAAAGGAAGGTTGTAAAATGGGGCAAAGATCACTTAACAAATTTCTCATTTAGCAACATGAATTTTGGGCTCAATGGGGGTCGTAAGTCAAGGACTACCTGTACCAGCCAGACCCAAGTCTCTCAAGCATGGAATACCACCGTCGGCCAGATCGTACCACAAGAGCATCCACGAGTTCGTTGTCGTGCTTCCCCTTCTCCATCAGGGTGGAAATTTGCTCCTTCAGAGTCTTCACCTCGTTGGACAAGACCTTGTTCCTGGCTTTGGACCCCTCCAGCTTCTTCTTCACATCCTCGTGGTCGTTCTGAAGGACTTGGTACTGATTCATGAGCTTCTGCCATCAAGACAGAGAAGAAAGAGATGGGCATCAAGGCACCCCAAAATTATTTTTGTGATGGTCTCTACGGCCCCTTCTGAACTTAGGTGAAGGATTGATTCCACCTTAAGACTCTCTGATTCTCAACTCTACACTTCTTTTTCTACCAAACCAGCTTTGGTAGGACGTCTGTCCTACCCAGTGGGGGGAAAATTCACCTTGAAGGAAAAAATTCCAAGGAGTTTATGCTCACAGGTCCTATGTCCGTCTGGTTCCCATTGGTTGCTAACAGTTTTTGGTTGAAAAAGATGGTTGAAGTGAGGAGTCTCAAAGTTGCATCGTAGGAATGTAAACCCCAGAAAGTAATCACCTTCGTGGAGGGTAGGATTAGGGTTAGGATTGAAGGTTAGGGTTAAGGATTAGGGTTAAAGGTTAGGGCTAAGGGTTAGGGTTAGGGTTAGGATTAGAGCTGCGTTAGGGGTTAGGGTTAAAGGTTAGCATTAGGGTTAAGGTTTAGGGTTTGGGCTAGGGTTAGTATTAGGGTCAAAGTTAGGATTAGGATTAAATGTTAGGGTTAAAGCTAGGGTTAGGGTTTAAAGGTTAGGGATATGTTAGGTTTAGGGTTATAATTGGGGTTATGATCAGGGCTAGGCTAGGTTGAGATTAGGGTTAGGGTTAGGGTTAAAGTTTAGGGTTTGGGCTAGGGTTAGTATTAGGGTTAAAGGTTAGGGCTATGTTTAGGGTTAGGATTAGGATCAAAGGTTAGGGTTAAGGGTTAGGGTTAAGGGTTAGGGTTAAAGGTTAGCATTAGGATTAAGGATTAGAGTTAGCAAACCTGAACTCACCCTTTTTGTCCACTGATTCTATGGATGGATGAGCATCTACCAACTTGTAGAAAACCCATTAGGTGTTTCAAAATTATTAGTTTTACCAGATTCATGTGGAAAGAATTCCTTACTTCCAAAGCTTCTTTCTTCTCCCTTTCCAAGGTTCGAATCCGCAAATGGTTCTTGACTTGGGCTGAGGACTTCCTGGAGTCGGTAAGGCTTATCGGGTCTTCGTTGGCATCGTTCTCTGATAACTTGCTTTTGTGACAATTCAGCTGGGTTTCTAACTCCCGTACCTAAAGGGGAATATAAGCAGGATACAGTAGGCCTAAAACTGAATAATAATAATAATAATAATAATAATAATAATAATAATAATAATAATAATAATAATAATAAAGTTGGAAGGGACCTTGGAGTTGGAAGGGACCTTGGAGGTCATCTAGTCCAACCCACTGCTCAGGCAGGAAACCCTATACCATTTCAGACAAATGGCTGCTGCGGGCGGGGGTGTGAGGGGTGGCAGTGGCCGGCTGCCCCCCGTACTGTGGGAGCCGCAGGGCCTACTCTACACAGGACTGCGCAGGATGGGTGGTGGTGCTGGCGGGGTGGCTGCGGGCAGGGGCACGGCATGTAAGCATAATTACAATATAAAATGTTATTGTTACAAAAGTTTTTTATTATGCATTTATCATATTATAGTGTATTCTGTATTATTGTTGCAATGAATAAAATGTTTCTTTTATTTATGATATTTTTTTCTTCAATTTATTTGTGTCCTCCTTTTCATTGTAAAAAAGTTGGGTCACCTTATTTTTACATCACAGTGACCAAAACTGGATGCAGGATTCCAAGTGTGGCCTTACCAAGGCCTTGTAAAGTGGTATTAACACTTCACTTGATCTTGATTCTATCCCTCTGTTAATGCAGCACTGTATTAACTTTTTTGGCAGCTGCATCACACAGCTGGCTCATATTTAAGGGATTGTCCACTAGGACTCCGAGATCCCTCTCATAGTTACTACTATTGAGCAAGTGCGTGGATTTCATTTCCGGAAGTCTGTTCTAGGCCTGGCGGAGGCCTCCCAGGCCTAGAACAGCCCACCGGAAGTGTGTTGATGTCACTTCTGGAAGTCTGTTCTAGGCTATGGAGGCCTGGAAGAGGCCTCCCAGGCCTAGAACAGCCCACAGGAAGTGCATGGATGTCACTTCCGGAAGTCCATTTTAGGCTTTGAAGGCTGAGGCCTGCATCCACGCAGAGAACTGGATGTTCAGGTATTTGAATCCCACCACTGGACTTAGGCCAATCATCAGGAGATGGTGAGTTCTAGTCCTGCCTCAGACATGAGAGTGGGCTGGGTGATTTTGGGCCAATCACCAGGAAACTAGGAATTCTAGTCCTACCTTAGGCTTGAAAGACCGCTGGGTGACTTTGGGCCAAAAACCAGGTGACTGGGAGTTCTAGTCCCACCTTTGGCATGAAACTGGCTGGATGGCTTTGGGCCAAACACCAGGCGACTGGGAGTTCTAGTCCCTCCTTTTGCATGAAAGCCAGCAGGGTGACTTTGGGCCAAATACCAGGCGACTGGGAGTTCTAGTCCTGCCTTAGGCTTGAAAGACAGCTGGGTGGGCCAAAAACCAGGTGACTGGGAGTTCTAGTCCCGCCTTTAGCATGAGACTGGCTGGATGACTTTGGGCCAAACACCAGGTGACTGGGCGTTCTAGTCCCCTCTTTCGCATGAAAGCCAGCAGGGTGACTTTGGGCCAAACACCAGGTGACTGGGAGTTCTAGTCCTGCCTTAGGCATGAAAGCCACTGGGTGACTTTCCTTCCCTCTCAACCCAAGGTTGTTTTTTGTTGTGGGGAAAATAGGAGAAGGAAGGAGTATTAAATATGTTCTTGCTGCCTTGAGTTACTTACAAATTAATAAAAGTGGGCTAAAATATGTAATAAATATTTCAGCCTGGTTCACACATCCTCTTAAGCTGCGGTTTAATTTGATGTCATAAGAAGAGACTGGACAGCCACTAGTCTGAAATGATATAGGTTCTCCTGCTTGAGAAGGGGTCTGGACTAGAAGACCTCCAAGGTCCCTTCCAGCTCTATTCTAATTATTGTTGCTGTTATTATTATTATTATTCACAAAGCCAGCCACGTGGGTCTACAAATTCCATCCATGGCTGACCATCTCATGTCAATCAAGTATAGTTTTCAGCTAGGCTGGCTGAGGAATTCTGGGAGTTGAAGTCCACACAGCTTAAATTCGACAGTAGTTGCAAAATACTGGCTTAAGCCAACAGTTGTTAGCAGAACTTGTGAAGCGAAATACACTTGTAAGGAGGAAGGTTGACTCACTCTGCCTTGCAGGACAAGGATTTGCTGAGCCCGTCCTCGCCAGCTGCCAGGGTTGGACAAAAGATTTTGGATATTGATGTCTACGCCCACTTCGTTGGTTAGAAGCTGAAAGCAAAAAGCAAAAACAGGCCGAAATCAGGGCTGAAAACGCTTTGCATAAAAGTCCTTTAGCCCAGCAAATACAGGAAGTCGATCATTCAAAATTGCAATGCCCCTCACCAGGGCTATTTACGACCCAGATTTCTGACGGCTGCCCACCCCCGGTCACCTGATCACATTTTTGGCATCGGGAACATCCCGCACTCACAGTGACCACAATTTACAACTTTTTTTATTTTTATTGATTTATATATCAATTTATTTATTAAATTTATCTATTTCCAAGTAGTCTCCAACTTGCAACCATTCATTTAGTGACCGTTTGAAGTAACAACAGCACTGAAAAAAACCTGCCTTAAGGACCATTTTTCGTATAACCGTTGCAGCCATCCCCGTGGTCATGTGATCAATTCAGATGCTTGTCAACTGGCTTGTACTTATGATGGTTGCAGTGTCCCGGGGTCATGTGATCACCATTTGTGACCTTCTGACAATGGGGAAGTCAGATTCGCTTAACAACCGTAACAACTATAATTCTGGGCTCAATTACCGTCGTAAGTCGAGGATTATGCGTAATCAGATCTATCTTTACATAGATTAGGATGTAAAATGAGTCCTGATTAAATTTGAGCTCCCCAATCATTTTCTTGCGGTTTATGTTTTCCATTCAGTATTTTATTACACGAAGGGAACGTGTACCTCACAAAATGATAAAATGGTTGTAGACATTCTCGGGGACAGCCGCCATGGTGAGGGGTGCTGTCCCTTCCCTTTTGTGCAATGCATGGTTGTGATGCGTGCACATACAGTTAATTCTCGATTTATGACCATTTAACGACGGTTTGAAGTTAAAATGCTGGGGGAAAAAATAACTTTACGACTGGTTGTAGCAAAGTCCTTCTTATGTAATTGTGATTTAGGTGCCTGTTCAGGAAGTCCTTGCTTAACTACCAGTTGCTTAGCAACCATTTGGAGCTATGACGGATCTTTGACCAGATTTTGAAACTCTGACACTCTCGATACAAGCAGTCCTCAACCTACAACAGTTCGTTTAGTGACCGTTCAAAGTTACAATGGCACTGAAAAAGGTGACTTAGGACTGTTTTTCACATTTATGACCGTTGCAGCATCCTCATGGTCACGTGATCAGAATTTGAACGCTTGGCAACTGGCTCATATTTATGACGGTGGCAGTATCCTGGGGTCACGTGATCCCCTTTTGTGACCTTCTGAACAAGCAAAGTCAATGGGAAAGCTAGTGTCACTTAACAACTGTGTTACTCACTTAATGACTGCATCTTAAAAACTGTGGCAAGAAAGATGGTAAAATGGGGCAAAACTAACTTAGCCACATACATTTTGGGCTCATTTGTGGTCGTAAGTTGAGGACTACCTGTATTTATGATCACATTTGGGCTCTTGGCAACTAGCCTGCATTCGTGGCTATTTGCAGCATCCAATGGTCACATGACTGCACTTTTTTGGCATTTTTTCCGACATTTACTTCTATTTCCAGCACAAAAAAAGCAGCCTTTGGGTAAAAATAATTTGCTTAATGAACGCTGTGTTTGCTGATTGACAACCGGGAAAAAAAAGTCATAAAATCAGGCATGGTCACCTGCTTAACTGGAACGGCGGATGACTGTAAATCTGGGCTCAATTACGGTCGTAAGACAAGGACAACCCGAACTTATGGCATTGACAGAGTTGCGTGATCCCTATTTGTGACCTTTGCAGACAGCTTCTGACAAGCAAAGTCAATGGGGGAATCTGGATTCGCTTAATGACCACAGGATTCACTTAACAACTGCAGGGGTTTGTTAACCACTGCAGACTCACTCAATGACCATCTTGCTTAGCAACATGTTTCTGGTCCCAAGTTGATTACTTGTATTTAATCTCCTTCTGGCCAAGCAAATTTGAAATGTTAATGCAATATTAAAAGGTTAACAAGGTAATGGGGTGTGAAAATTATCCTGCACCCTCAGCCACTGTTGCCCACATCTCATACATGCACACATGCATGCACAAACATACACACACACTCTTACCTTTTGTGTCATCTTAAGTTCCTGTTTTGTGGACTGAAGCTGGTTGCGATATTCAGATGCTTTGAGATTCACGGCAGACAATTTTTCATGCAAAGCTTTCACTTCTGGGCTCTTTCAGACAATTGTTGCATTGTCGGAGAAGAACAGAGACCCCAGGGAAAGGCAAAAGATACACTTCAGTTAACTAGCACAATTTTCAAGGAAACCAAGAGAACCTAAAGAGTGACATCACATCACCCAAATGGGTAAAGAAATCCATTTCACACTGATTGCGTTACCTAGTTGGGTAATGAAATGTCTGTAAGAAAACCACCAAGTTCAGAGAGCACCCAGGGACTCAATAGTCCTCCTCCTCCTCCTCCTCCTCCTCCTCCTCCTCCACAAACTCCACTCCCTTCTAGCACTAATGATGTTCCCTAGTTGGGTCATGAAATGCCTGGAAGAAGACCACCAAGCTCAGAGAGCATCAAGAACCACACAGTCTCCTCCTCCTCCTCCTCCTCCTCCTCCTCCTCCTCCTTCCCTTTTTCTTCCTCCTTCTCTCTGTAAACCCCCTCCCTTCTACCTTGTTTTCCTTAAAATAAGACCTACCCTGGGGCGAGGCGCACGCCTAAAAATCAAGCTAGGGCGGGGGTGTGTGGAGCTTCCCCACGTGGCCCGCACCCACTTACTGTTGCAGCCAGATCTCTCATGCCCTGACACATGCCTTGCCTCTCTGACCCACTTCTCCTGCAGTTGCTTGCTGCCACTCATGCATCTGCATCACCCCGGCCTCCATTTCACCGTCAGAGGCCTTCAGGAAAGGCCTCTGCAGTTGTGAACTAAGCTCTGGAGACCATGAAACGTCTGCAAATTCAGAGATTACCAAGGACCTCCCCCTCCTCTTCCTCCTCCTCTTCCTCCTCCTCCTCCTCCTCCTTTCTCCAAACCCACCTCCCTTCTAGCACTGATGAAGTTATCTAGTTGGGTCATGAAATGTCTGCAAGAAAACGAGACCACCAAGGACCCCACATTTTTACATAATCGGGATGGCCACTGAGGGCCACGTAGGAGGATTCTGTAATAGCTGGACTACGGTCAGAGCGTGCACAGTCTTATTGCGTGAGATAACCCAGGAGTAAACACAGTAAACAGTGGTCTATATTAAATGGTGGTTTATCTTACACTATCTACAATATTATACAGCAGACCAAAATACATACACGTGCTAATACAGCCGGATCCAATAAACACTAGTTACAGCAGGAAACAGAAAAGAGAAAACACAGCAGTAGAGCCTTCCCTTTATACCAGGTATGTCAAACTGCTGGCCTGCCGATACGTCACGCGACGTCACGTGACGTTACGAGTTTGATATGCCTGCTTTATACAAAGGCTCTTAAAGAGACACAGACCCTGCTGAGTCATTCCCATCATTACATCTTAAATCTTACATTACGCAAGCTGGTTAGCTGTTAAATCAATACCTTGACAACTACGGGTTTCGCAGTACTGTTGCACCAGTAAACTGATATGAGTTCACTTTCTTTAATTTAGCTCACATTTTGAGTATAACCTTGTAAGAACGAACTGTTGAAGTTTTCCCTTAGCAACCGACTGGCTGTAACTAACTGCAAGAGGAGAATTTTCTGAGGGGGAATTACTGAAGGTTTTCTTTTTCAGCTGTGTACGTTAAGAAATTTGGCTGAAATTTTATCTTTTCGCAATGACTCTACGGGACTCATGAGGTTTCTTTCCAGTTGTTAACATTTAGCCTTTTTATTATGCTTTTAATACAATGCTCTTTTCTGTGGCTCTGATCACCTATTATTGGATGCTTTAATAATTCTTATAATGTAACTGGACATATGTTTGAAGGTTGAATCAAGGCAACTGGACTATTTTTTTTCTCCCTGTTAGTTTTGCTGCTCATCCAAGCAGTTTCATCAGTCAGGGCAAGCTGGCTAGGCAGAGAGTAATAATAATAATATTCCAACCCCCTGCTCAGGCAGGAAATCCTTTACCATTTCGGACAAATGTCCAGTTTCTTCTTAAAAACTTCCAGTGTTGGAGCATTCACCGTTTCTGGAGGCAGATTGTTCCACTGGTTAATTGTTCTAACTGTCAGGAAGTTTCTCCTTAGTTCTAGGTTGCTTCTCTCCTTAGTTAGTTTCCATCCGTTGCTTCTTGTCCCGCCTTCAGGCGCCTTGGAGAATAGCTTGACTCCCTCTTCTTTGGGGCAGCGCCTGAGATATTGGAACACTGCTATCATGTCCCCCCTCGTCCTTCTCTTCAATAAACTAGACATACCCAATTCCAGCAGCCTTTCCTTATATGCTTTAGCCTCCAGTCCCCTAATCATCTTTGTTGCTCTTCTCTGTACTCTTTCTAGAGTCTCAGCATCTTTTTTACAATTATCAATCTTGATAACATTGTAAATCGACAAGTAGCCCTTGAGTTACAACAGGGGTGTCAAACTAGTGGCCTGCGGGCTGGATGCATCACACGCAGGCCACACCGACACTGGCTCCACAAAGGCAAAAAACATCACGATACGTCATGTGATGCGATCAAGTTTGATATCCGTGAGTTACTATTCATTTAGTGACCATTCTAAGATAAACGGCACTGTACGACATGAGTTATGACTTTACTAGCTTCTGACAAGCAAAGCCAATGGAAGAAGCCAGATTGGCTTAAAGACTGCATAATTCATTTAACAACTGCAATGTTTGGCTTAACAACTATGGCCAAAAAGTCATAAAAACGGGGCACAACTTGCTTAACAAGTGTCTTGCTTAGCAATAGCAATTTTGGGCTCAGTTGTGGTTCATAAGTTGAGGACTATGTGTACGGATTAATATTTATTAAATTAATATTTATTAAATTAATATTAAATAATCAACAGTTATTCAATAAATAATAAATAAATATTTAATAATTAATTAATGTTATTAAATTAAATATTTTAATTAACATTAATATTTATTAAATTCCTTGTGCATCCAACCACATTTGGCCAATAAGGAATTCTAATTCTAATTCTAATTAAATCTGCATATTTGCTGGAGAAGAATTAATTAATATTATTAAATTAAATAATATTTTAATTAACATTAATATTTATTAAATTCCTTGTGCGTCCAACCACATTTGGCCAATAAGGAATTCTAATTCTAATTCTAATTAAATCTGCATATTTGCTGGAGAAGAATTAATTAATATTATTAAATTAAATAATATTTTAATTAACATTAATATTTATTAAATTCCTTGTGTGTCCAACCACATTTGGCCAATAAAGAATTCTAATTCTAATTAGAATTCTCCAGCATATTTGCTGGAGAAGAAATTCAAGCTTCTTGCTTCTATTCTTTTCCTCTCTTTCTGTACTTTTTTTCTTCTCTTTCTCCTTTCTTCCTTCATTTTCCTTTGCCTCTGTTCGCTCTTTCTTACTTTGTGTCAGTTTTGAGGTTCTTTGTGTTAGTTTTGACATTCTTTGTAAAACGTTTAATAACATTTGTATTGGGAAAACATGGTTTGCCTTCCCAAACTTCCCTCACTGTTTCACACTGATTAAAAAAAAAGAACATAACAATTCAATTAATTAAAAACAGTCACCATGAACTCCTTGGCTGTTTTCAAAAAGATAAAACAGAGCAGGATATTGCAAACCAGAGAAGCTACTGTAAATTGAGAAAACGTATCTTAAAAGAACAGTTTTATGGAGTTTAACTCTTACCATAGTGGCGTCTGCCTTTTTACGGAAAGCTGGGCTGTCACCGTGAGATTGCAACTTCACAGTGGACATCTGTAGCTGGAAAAACCAGACAGGTATAGTTTTGTGCAAAATGCTAAATGAAGACATATAGACTACCGAACAACAGAGTTGGGACCTTGGAGGTCATCTAGTCCAACCCCTCTGGCTCAAACAGGAAACCCTGTACTATTCCAGAAAAATGGCAATCCGGTCTTTTCTTAAAAATCTCCCATGATGGAGCACCCACAACCTCTGAAGGCGAGCAAAAACAGAAATGGAACTACACCAACAGTTTGGTTATTTTAGCCTTCAACCAGCTAACCCCAGCAGAACTAAAATTAAGCTATTGTCATAAAGATAAAACCTTAAAACAGGGGTGGAAATTTCTTTTAGAATCAGTTGTTGATTGGGCTCACAACTGCAAAGCAAGAAGATTAGGATAATTTGATTTCTTGCTGCTCAAGGACTACAGCTAGTCCTCAAGTTATAACCATTCATTTAGTGACTGTTCGAAGTCACAACGGCACTGAAAAAAGGACTTATGATTGTTTTTCATCACTTACGATTATTACAGCATTCCCAGGATCATGTGATTAAAATTCAGATGCTGGGCAACTGACTTGTCTTTATGACGGTTGCAGCGTCCTGGGGTCATGTGATCCCCTTTTGGGATCTTCTGACAAGCAAAATCAATGGGGGAAGCAGATTCACTTAACAACCCTGTTGCTAATTTAACAACTGCAGTGATTCACTTAACAGCTGTGGCGAAAAAGGTCGTAAAATGGGGCAAAACTCACTTAACAATTATCCTGCTTAGCATCGGAAATTTGGGGCTCAATTGTGGTCATAAGCCAAGGACTACCGGTATTAAATTTTTTTACTGGGTAATGATGTGAGGAAGTGAAAATACTGTGCATTGCCAACTATATGGTTATGATTTGCTGACAGTTAATAGGTTTTTATTGATTAGATTAAAATTACCGTAAATTAAGAATATATTAAGATGTTTTTTTCCCAATATTGGTTGCTAATATTTTAGAGATTTTTAAGTATTGATATTATTTCCTTAATTTAATCTAATCCAGGCTAGAAAACAGGAGACGGTGAGTTCTAGTCCTGTCTAGGCATCAAAACTGGTTGGCTGGACCTGTCACTCTCTCTTAATCCACACAACTTTACAAGGTTGTTGTGGGGAAAATAGGAGGAGAAAGGATATGTTTGTCACCTTGAATTATTTATAAAAATAATAAGGGTCGGAGATTAGATAGATAGATAGATAGGTAAATAGATAGGTAGGTAGGTAGGTAGGTAGGTAGATAGATAGATAGATAGATAGATAGATAGATAGATAGATAGATAGATAGATAGATAGATAGATAGATAGATAATAATAATAATAATAATAATTAATAATAATAATTTATTATTATTATTATTATTATTATTATTATTATTATTATTATTATTATCATTTCAACCTTCCCTGGAACTTCCAGTAGATCAGGTTGGGGGACGAGTCCGTCCTTTGGGATATGGTAAAGCCTGTTTACCGACAGGTCAGAGAAAAATTTTTGAAGGTCACAACCTCGTAAGTGGCGAAGACCTCGCAGGTTGTTCCACTGGTTAATTGTTCTCACTGTCAGGAAGTTTCTCCTTAGTTCTAGGTTGCTTCTCTCCTTGATTAGTTTCCACCCGTTGCTTCTTGTCCTGCCTTCAGGCCCTTTGGAGAATAGCTTGACTCCCTCTTCTTTATGGCAACCCCTGAGATATTGGAACGCTGCTATCATGTCCCCCCTCGTCCTTCTCTTCATTAAACTAGACATACCCAATTCCAGCAGCCGTTCCTTATATGCTTTAGTCTCCAGTCCCCTAATCATCTTTGTTGCTCTTCCTCTGTACTCTTTCTAAAGTCTCAACATCTTTTTTACATCGCGGTGACCAAAACTGGATGCAGTATTCCAAGTGTGGCCTTACCAAGGCATTATAAATTGGTATTAACACTTCACGTGATCTTGATTCTATCCCTCTGTTAATGCAGCCCAGCACTGTGTTGGCCTTTTTGGTAGCTGCAGCACACTGCTGGCTCATATTTAGGTGATTGTCCACTAGGACTCCGAGGTCCCTCTCACAGTTACTACTATTGAGCAAGGTAGATAGATAGATAGATAGATAGATAGATAGATAGATAGATAGATAGATAGATAGATAGATAGATAGATAGATAGATAGATAGATAGATAGATAGATAGATAGATAGATAGATAGATAGATAGAAAGAGAAAACATGTTTAGAGATAAATAAAACATATTAATATTTAGAGCCTGAGATAAGTGCTAAATAAGTTTGATTAAAAAAATGAATACCGTACATTGTCACTTTTTAACTTTTCCGTTTTATTCCCTTTGCCTTTGTGTTTTATTTTATTTATTTTTCTGAAACTTAAAAAAGCTCTTTTAAAAAGGTTGGAGTAATTTGATTAGTGATTGTTATTATTATTATTACCAGTAGATGTTTTTTCACCTTTTTTTGATACATGGATGGATGGATGTTAACTCAAGGTGGTAAGCATATCTAACAGCTTTGCTCCTATTATTTTCCCTGCAACAACAATCCTACGAGGTGGGTTGGTCGTAACCCAGCTGGCTTTCATGCCTATTGCGGAACTAGAACTCCCAATCTCCTGGTGATTGGCCTAAAGTCACCCAGCCTTAAGCCATGACATTATCAAACACCCGTGCTAACAAAAACGAAGCCTCACATCTTTTTCCAGCTGTTTGATCCGGTTGTTCAGCTGTTTCGTTCTGGTTTTCTCCCTTTCCATCTCAGCTGTCATGTGCCGGTTATGTTTAGCCAGTTCCACAATTTTAGACGCTGCAACATCCCCTGATAAACCAGTGGTCCCTAAAATTAAAAAAAAAAGGGAAAGAAAAGCTGAAAAGAAGAAAATGGTTTTCCCCAGAGATATATTTGTAGTTCAGGGTTGAACTGAGGGGTCCTTGGTGATTCCTGAGCTTGGCTGTTTTCTTGCAGATGTTTCATGACCCAGCTAGGAAACATCATGAGGGCTAGAAGGCAGTGGGGTTTGTGGAGAGGAGGAGAATGCAATTTATATGTTATTTATTATTTTGTCCCACCTGTACTACTTTTTAAAGTAACTCATGGCAGCAAACATACATAATAGGTACTGATTTCTCATCCTATTTTTTTCCACAACTATCCTGTGAAGCGGGTTGAGATGAGAGAGAGTGATTGACCCTAAGTCACCCAGCCAAGTGTCATGTCTAAGGTGGGACTAGAATTCACAATTTCCTGGTGACTGGCCCAAGTCACCCAGCCAGCTTTCATGCCTAAGGCGGGACTAGAACTCACCATCTCCTGGTAATTTAGCCAAAGCCACCCAGTCGGCTTTCATACCTAAGGCTGGCCTAGAAGTCACCATCTCCTGGTGATTGACCCAAAGTCAATCCAGCTGGCTTTGGTGCTTAAGACAGGATTAGAACTCTCCATCACCAGGAAAGTCACCTAGCTGTCTTTCATGCCAAAGGTGGGACTAGAACTCACCATCTCCTGGTGATTGGCCCAAAGTCACCTAGCTGTCTTTCATGCCTAAAGTGGGACTAGAACTCACTGTCTTTTGGTGATTGGTCCAAAGTTACCCAGTCAGGTGGCGCAGAACTAGAACTCACAATCACCTGGTTTCCAGGCCAGCACCTAAATCGGCTCAGTTTCCCACCTTGTGTGATAATTGTTCTCCTTCGTACCACAAATCTAGCATTTTGCTGGACCACTCTACACTTTGATGAAGTTTCTAAAACCATTCCCTAATAAGTTCTTTGCAATAAATAAATAAAAAAATCATTCTGGGAAACTTGGTGGTCTGGACCATTATCTTCAGGAAAAAGGAATTGCAGAAGCAATTGGTAAAAAAAGGGCTGATTTAAATCAGCTGTGTGTTCACCCAGTAGAGCTTGCCGTTCCTCTTCTATCTTCTTATGAAGCTGCTTTATTTCCAAATCTCTTTCCTTCAAAAGCTTGAACAGCCGGCCGTTCTCATCCACCAGCTCCCGGAGTTGGTGCTGGAGCTGCTCGTTTTCAGTTTCCAGCAATCTAGAAAACAAACAGGCAGCTTGATCTAGTCTGTGGTTGCAATCCAGCCCCAGAGTGGAAGGCCCTGGGATCTGGGGAAAAAAAAATGGGGCAGTGCAGAATTGTGCATTTTTCTCCCTTCTATTAAAAGTAGTCCTTGACTTACGATCACAACGGAGCCCAAAACATCTGTTGCTAAGGGAGACAGTTGTTATGGGTTTTGGCTCATTTTATGACCTTTCGTGACACAGTTGTTCAGTGAATCACTGCAGCTGTTAAGTTAAGAACATAGTTGTAAAGTGAATCTGGATTCCCCATTGACTTCGATAATTAGAAGGTCACCAAAGTGGATCGCGTGACCCCGGGACACTGCAACCGTCATAAATATGAGTCAGTTGTCAAGCATCTGAATGTAAATCAGGTGACCACCGGGAGGCTGCAACAGTCATAAGTGTGAAAAACATTCCTAAGCCACTTTTGTCAGTGCTGTTGTAACTTTGAAAGGTCACTAAAGAAACTGTTGTAAGTTGAGGAACACTTGTAGTCTTTTGACTTACCACCATAATGGAATCCAGACTTTCCATTAGGAAGATCATAAGCCAAAGCGCTTGTGTGATTTTACGACATTGTGGCAGTCATTAAGTGAATGCGGCATTTTTTTGGGGGGTGGGTGGGCTGGAAACCAGAATTAAATGCTGGTTTCCCCTCAGAAAGCATCATAAATCACAGTTCTGTGAATTCAACCAGATTGCCACCTTACTTTGTCCCAATGTCTGATTCGGAGGTCTCGGGTGCCAAGAATGATAAGTTGAGGGCATCTGGGATTCCGAAGGCCTTGTCTTCATTCTCCTTGTTGTTCTGTTTTAGGCTGTGTTGACTCTCCTTTTTCTTCTCCATCAGATTTTGCATCCTTTTCTGCTGCTGCTCCTGGAGAGCCTTAAACTGCATTTTTAGGTTTTCACTGACAGCTTCATCAGCCTCCATTGCGACCTTTGAAAGGGAAATCAAATCAAGACGTTCAAAGCAGAATACTTTGGCTAGTCAGTTAAGAAAAAAAAATTCTCCAAATTTTTAGAGGAAAGCAATAGCAGTATTTTTTTTCAATCTTAGCAACTTTAATACGGACTTCAACTCCCAGAATTCTTCAGCCAGAAATTCTCTGAGCTTGGTTGTTTTCTTGAATTCATTAATCCATCCATCCATTCTTCTGTCTTTGTTATAGTATCCATGCCTCTATCCCTCAATCCTTTTACATATTATCTCTGTCTCGTCTTATCTATCAATTCATCCCCATCTCTCTCTTATCTTCTATTTATCATCTATCTATTTCTCTCTCTCTCTTTCATCTATATTTCTCTCTCTCTCTATTATCTATCTTCAACTCTCTATCAATCAATCTACCTATCCTTGTGTCATTTCTCTATATCTATTTATATATCATTCTCTTGCTTTCTCTTTCATTACCTCCATCTATCCACCTTCATCTATCTATCCTTCTTCTGTCTATCAATCTATCTATCCTATCTCTATATCTCTCTCTGTCATGTATCATTATTTCTCTATTCTCTACCTTCATTCTTTCCTTCTATTCTTCTCTCTCTATCTACTACTATCAAATCTGTCCGCCCACCCACCCACCCACCCACCCACCCTATCTATCTATCTATCTATCTATCTATCTATCTATCTATCTATCTATCTATCTATCTATCTATCTATCTATCTATCTATCTATCTATCTATCTATCTATCTATCTATCTATCTATCTATCTATCTATCTATCTATCTATCCATCCATCCATCCATCCATCCATCCATCTATCTGTCTATCCTGTGTCTCTCTCTTTCTATCATTTATTATCAATCTATTTATCCTATGTCATCTATCTGTCCATCCATCTACCCATTCAATCTATACATGCATCCATCCTTCTATCCATCCATCCATCCATCCATTTCTCTCTCTCTCTCTCTCTCTCTCTCTCTCTCTCTCTCTCTCTCTCTCTCTCTCTCTCTCCCTCCCTCCCTCCCTCCCAGTCTCTCCCTCTCATTATTACCCAGCCCCAGCCTCCTGTTATTGGGACTCTCAGTGGTCTCCGGTCCTGCCTCTGGCCCTCCCAACCTTGGCCAGATTCCCAAGGCCAGCTCCACTATTGTGGGCTTACCTTTCTCAGACCCACTCAAGGCGCCTCGAAACCGAAAGTTGGTTAATTCGCTCCTCTTCCGCCTGGCTCCAACTTCGTTTTGACATCGCCAGATCTTCACGCCTTCAATACTTGGGAAGAGCTTGGCACAGACCTGGGGGAGGGAGGGGGGGAGGGAGGGACGGGGGAGTTTAGAAAACGGAGTTTAAACTCCCTTAAAAGGGGAGGGGGCTCTGTGGAGATTTCATCTTGGCACAACTTGGGGAGGGTCAGAGAGGATCCAACGGGGTGGGAAGTGGGGGGAGGACTTTGGACCTGCTCCCCCTGCCAGAGCCTCCCAAGGGGGAGTGCGGGAAGACCCCCCCCCCCCCCCCCCCCCCCCACCNCACTCTGCCCCCCCAGCAGCCCCACTCACCCACCGCCGCCTCCGGGTCCGGCGCCCTCCTCCTTTAGCCGGACAGCCCCGGGGCGGAGCAGCTCCCCGGCGAAGACGCTGCGGAGGCAGGGCGCGTTGCTATGGACGCGGTCGCCGCGGCAACCGTCGCTAGGGAGAAGCCCGGGCTCGCCTCCCAGGAAGACGATGCTCCGCAGGACGGCTGGGCAAAGACCGGGAAGCGTCGCGGGGGCTGCGCTGGGGCTGGGCAGGGAGCGAAAGAGGCAGAAGCAGCCCCCTTTCTCCAAATCTGGAACAGGGACCCCTAGATCTGCTCCCCCTCCAGATGGGGCAAATCTCAACTCCCAAAATTCTCTGCAAGTAAGGGTGGGGGATTCTGGGATAGCTGGAGGCTCCTCATGCTAGGGAGGGGCTGAGGCTCAGCAAGGACAGACCTGAGCTGACTTTGCAAAGCTAAGTTTAGGTTAGACTAGGTGGGAGCCCACTAAACGAATGGTTGGTGGTTTTTTTTACAGTTTTAATAGTTTTTAACTGTTTTTATTGTTTTAAAACGTTTTTAAGATTTTAATTGTAATCGTAATATATGGTTTCAATTGTGAGCTGTCCAGAAATGTTTGTTGAAATGTTTGTTGAAATGTACGGTTAAGGAAGGGAAGTGAAAGGAAAGGAAGGGAAAGGAAAGGAAAGGGAAGGGAAGTGAAAGGAAAGGAAAGGAAGGGAAAGGAAAGGAACGGAAAGGAAAGGAAAGAAGTCAGTTGGTAGCCTCACACATTGTTTATTACTCCTTCCATGCCAAAAAAAAAGAGGGGGGGGGACTGATAATTGTTAGTTCCACTTCTGCTCATCCCATTTATTGAGGCTGATATTGGTTCTTCTTAAAAACTTCCAGTGTTGGTGCGTTCACCGCTTCTGCAGGCAGGTTGTTCCACTGGTTAATTTTTCTCACTGTCAGGAAGTTTCTCCTTAGTTCTAAGGTTGCTTCTCTCCTTGATTAGTTTCCATTCGTTGCTTCTTGTCCTGCCTTCAGGCGCTTTGGAGAATAGCTTGACTCCCAATTCTTCTTTGTGGCAGCCCCTGAGATATTGGAACACTGCTATCATGTCCCCCCTCGTCCTTCTCTTCGTTAAACATGTTATCTATTCCTATACACATACGTACACGAACTTCTCGACATCTTTTTTGTAGTATGGTGACCAAACTTGTTTGCAGTATTCCAGATGTGGTCTTAGTAGGGTTTTATAAAGCGGTACTAATACCTCACATGATTTTGATTCTATGCCTCTGTTTATACAATCAGGAATTGTATTAGCTTTTTTGGCTCCTGCAGCACATGGGTGGCTCACGGTCAAGTGATTGTCCACTAGGACTCCAAGGCCCTTCTCACAGTTACTGTTTTTGAGCCAGGTGTCATCTAATCTATACTTATATCTTTGATTTTTCCTGCCTAAATGTAACACTTTTCTCCACATTGGAACTCATTTTGTTGGATAGGGCCCATTGTTCGAGTTTGTCAAGATCTTTTTGGATCCTGAGTTTGTCTTCCGGGGTGTCGGCTATTCCTGCCAGTTTAGTGTCATTTGCAAGTGTGATGACTTCCCCTTCTATTCCCTCATTTAAGTCATTTATGAAGATACTGGGCCTAAGATGGAGCCTTGTGGTACCCGAACGTTTAGGGCAGAACATTTAGAACAGGAAATCCTCAACATATGACCACAATTAAGCCCAATGTTTCAGTGGCTAAGCAAGACAGTACTTAAGTGAGTTTTGCCCTATTTTTCTTGCCACAGTTGTTAAGTGAATCTCTGCAGTTGTAGAGTTAGTAACATGGTTGTAAAGTGAATTGGACTGCCCCATTGACTTTGCACATCAGAAGATCACAAAAGGGGATCACGTGACCCCAGGACACTACAACCATCATAAATACATGCCAGTTGCCAACCGTCAGAATTTTGATCACATGACCATGGGGATGCTGCAATGTGAAAAACGATCATAAGTCACTTTTTTCATTGCCGTTGAAACTAAATGAATGATTGTAAGTTGATATTATCTGTACACTTTATGGAGTTTATGGAGAGGTATGGAAAACCCTAGAAATATTGCAAGGATGTCTCTGTTCGTTTTTATCAAAGATGCAGAAAAGCTCTTTAAATTTCTGCCCTATTCAGTCTCCATTAAACAGGTCTGGACATGCAGACATCTGCAGAGGCAAAGCAAAGTAAGTGAGAAAAATGAACATCCCACTTTTAAAAATTTGATTTATTTAGTTATGACATTTATATACAGCTCATCTCTCTATCAAGCCACTTGGATGATTACTTGGGCCACACAATATCTCAGTGTTATGAAAATAAGCAGAGTTTGCATTGTGTGGCAAGAAAGGTCGTAAAATGGGACAAAACGTCTTAACTACTGCCTTGCTTGGTAACGGAAATTTTGGGCTGAATTGTGGACATAAGTTGAGGACTACCTGTATGATTTCCCTTTGCATGAAATAAGACAAGACAAGACAATCTTTATTGTCAGTTTTTTTTACTATGGGCACAACGGCACACATCAAAAATGAAATTTAGTTGTCCGCTCTCAAAGTGAAACACATACACGACACACACCTAAAACATACTATGTACATCATATGTATAGACCCACACCCTACATATATACATAACGAATAAATATTAAATACTGTCCATCTTGAATATATAATGGAAGGAGGAAGCTTGAGAGTTCACAAGGTTAATGCTGTATGGATGAAACTATGGCTTCTAGTTTCCTGTGCCAGCTATGTGATTGTTACCATTTCTTGTAAATGAAGCACAGGATCCTGGCTAAGTGGTTAAACCTGTGAATCTGCACCCCCTCCCCTGCAGCCCCCCTAACATGTCAACTGTTAGCAAAACCCTCAGTGAGCAGAAAAGGGGAAAAAACTGTTAAAGAAAACTTGTTTAAGAGAATGTTTCTTCTCAGAATAGTAAATGTTTCTTCTCAGAATTCATCTTCCTCACTCCCATGTCCATGAGAACCACACCTGGGTCCTCAGGGCCTCATCTGCATGTTAAAATATCTGGCATTTATTGGGTTAAGTGCTGTCTCCTTAAGAGATGGCTTGTGGGTAATGTAGTTTAGCTAGTCTGCAATCCCATGTTATCAGATCTGTGGGAGGAGTTTCTAAAGTTCATCAGAGGATATCTTGGCCACGAGTCAGATTGGAATGTTCTTTGTCTGAGAGAAGCATGGAGCCATTCGGACATCTCATTTGGCTCCATTCCAAGTTACAAGCTGGTATGGAGGAAGCATTATTTTCTCATATAGGAATGAACAGAAGCAACCATCATAAATGCAAGTATTTCTCTGAATAAATATATATCTGTTTTGCAATCATTTCTATTGAGTTTATCTGTCTGACCTGGTTTTACAAAGCAACTTAACTCTGTGTCAGAACAGT